TTTTAGGCAGCCATGACCCAGGAAGGATCTCTAACAGCCATCTGAGGAGTGGCCAGTGAAGTTATCACTAGGCTGTAATGTTAACACTGCATTTTCTCTGAAAAGACAGTGTTTATAGCAAAAAGCTTGACGGTAATGATTCTACTCACCAGAACACATTCAATAAGCTGCAGTTGTTCTGGTAAGTATAGTTTCCTTTTAATGTCCATAAAGCTTCTGAACATTTCTTTACCAGAACTGTAATATTAGACATGTGCATTTATTGTGCTCTTCCTTAAATTGATCAATTTGACAATTAATTGATTTGTCTGGCATAGCAACCTTTTTAATTAGATTTTTATACCGATCAGTCAGTCTAAAAATGAATTGAAGGGGAGTTCCCCGCATGAATCAATAGTTCATTTATGGGAAACTACAAAAATGCAAACCTTTTTAACGATGTCGTCAGGCTCTGTAGATAAGATGACTAATACTGAAAGTAAAATGGCTGACGGAGTTTTTGCAAAAATACATTTCAAAATCTAATAGGGATCGACCGATTATCGGTTTTACCGATATTCGGTATTTTCGGCAATATCGATATCGGCCAATTCAGATCCCGATATTGCCGATAATACCTCCTAGGACCGCCAGGCTTCCTGGGTGGGCGGGCAGCAAGCGTTTACTCACCTCCCAGCAGCTCCTCCAGCTCCCCAGTGTAACTCTCGCGAGACCCGCGGCCGTCAAAGCGTTACTGCGGGTTACCATGGCAACGCTCCGTGCGGCACGCTGACTGCGAGACTTACACTGGGGAGCTGCTGGGAGGTGAGTAAACGCGGGCCCCCCCCACCACAGCTCAGCCAATGCCACTGGACCACCAGGGATTGCTATATCCCCCCCTCCCTGGCCAGGTAACAAGCATGGAGAGGGGGACAACAAAAATAAATATAAAAAATGCCCCCTCACACACTCCATTATATATACTACACAAACACACTGTGTATATAATGGTGTTTGTGTAGTGTGTTTTATATAATGCACCCTACACAAACACACTGCATTATATAAACACACTACATTCACTATACACACGACACAAACACACACTCTGCATTCATTATATACACACTACACAAACACACACACTTTGTATTTAGTATATACAGCATTCACTTTACGCACACTACCCACACACTACACAAACTCTCTGCTTTCATTATATACACACTACACTAATACACACTGCATCCACAACACACATACTACACAAACACACACAACTCTCCTGTCTAAACACACTGCATCCACTACACGTGGCATGTATATTTTGTGCATTTACCTTTTAGAAATAGTTTATATTTTCCAAAATGGTAAATGTACAGAATATCGGCAAATTTATATCGGCTATTGACCTGAAAGTTCAGAGTATCGGCTCAAAAAAAATCAATATCGGTCGATCCCTAAAATCTAACTCTCAATCCTATGCTTTGATGGTTTCACTAAATATTGAATGATTTCTTCTCAAATGGTAATTACACTTTAAAAAGACATCTTATTCACGTATACATGCTTTTATCTGTTATATATATACATACATATTAATTTCTGAAGAATTGCGTCATCAGTATCTTGCTTCTCTTTGTTTCTGCAGGGGGATATGAACGGTTCCATTCAGAATACCCAGAGTTCTGTGCAAAAACAAAATCCATAAACAGTATTTCATTGCCTGCTAGTATTGAACCTGCTGATATGGGCTGCAGTTCGTGTACAACACCATTGCATGACCAGGTAAACAATTCTGTTGGTTATTAAGCGAAGTGATTAAATAACACCGTAACCTCTGTTTAGTATAAATACTTTGACAAATTTCACCGCGTGGAACCATTTTGACATGAGGTGTTTTTTTTTTTTTTTTTTGGTCCGTTCTGAGGAGGTTGCCAAGTTAATCTTACAAAATATATTTTGGTCTAGATAATTATTTTTTTGCAAAGGAAAGGTTTGGCTTAATTCTGAATAACTAGTCAAATTGTAATTAAGTGGCACAATAACACTTTACTGTGCAACCATTCTTGTTTTGCCAAAAGTGTTTTGTGTGTTTTTTTTTTTTTTTAAATACCTAACCCCCACCTAAATACTTGGAATGGGGTGATTGGGGGAGGGGTAGGAGTGCTTTGAATGAGCTTTATAACTCATCGTAAAATAAGAATTTCAGCTAAGCCTTCCACTTAAAACTTCCTGTCTGGTACATCTTATCATATCAAGAAGTATTGTTTTGTTTCCTTCTGGACAGGGTGGACCTGTTGAGATCCTTCCTTTCCTGTACCTCGGCAGTGCTTATCATGCTGCCCGAAGAGACATGTTGGATGCCTTGGGGATCACCGCCTTATTGAATGTATCTTCTGATTGCCCGAACCATTTTGAAGGTCATTTTCAGTATAAATGCATACCGGTGGAAGATAACCACAAAGCGGACATCAGCTCCTGGTTTATTGAAGCAATAGACTATATTGGTGAGTTTAATGAAGTCTTTTTATTAAAGTTATTTATACTGTGCCATTCTGCATGGTTTTGAAAAATATATTGTTTGTATGTATCATGTTTAATGGCTTGATGTTTAGCGAAACAAACCTTTTTTATAATTTTATTGTAATGTATTTTGAGCCGTACTATGGTAGGTTAGTCGTTCCTGGCATGCATTGGGCCTACCCTGTTAAGGCTCATGTAAAATGCCACATTCTCTGCTGCATTATCTGTATAAATCCATCCATCTTTGGTGGTGATGGGTAGGAAGAACTTTTTTTTTTTTTTTTGTATAAGTATGTATCACTTTGCTAAATATAATTGGGTTTGTTCTTGCATGTTTTGTTACTTGAAATGTAACCTGTGATTTCCATGTTTTGTTATTGGTATATGGTTTTATAGACCGCCATTTATTTATTTATTTATTTATTCATTTTCCCCTTACTTTTACAGATTCCGTTAAGGATAATAATGGACGTGTTCTTGTTCACTGCCAAGCTGGCATTTCTCGTTCTGCTACGATCTGCTTGGCCTATCTGATGATGAAGAAGAGAGTGCGACTAGAAGAAGCATTTGAGTTTGTGAAGCAACGTCGAAGTATCATCTCACCTAACTTTAGCTTCATGGGACAGTTGCTACAGTTTGAATCTCAGGTCCTGACTACTACATGCGCTACTGAGGCTGCTAGCCCATCGGCGACGTTGCAGCGTAGCAAGCCTTCCTCATCGCCAACATCTCCTTTTGTTTTCAGTTTTCCTGTGTCTGTAGCGGCCCCTAGTAGCCTTTATCTTCACAGTCCTATTACCACATCACCCAGTTGTTAAAGAAAACAAATAAGTAAATTGAAGAAAGAGGGAAGGGTGGGTAAGCAAAACAGACTTTTTGTCCATTTTGGCTATTCTAGGTCCAAAAGGACTTCTCTATAGGGAGCTGAACTTTCACTGAGGGAAATGCAAACCCTTAAGTATCAATTGGGGGGAGGAGGGGTTGGGGATAACAAGCAATAATTAATTTTTATCCCATCTTGGATGTCATTTGAAATTTTGTGGGTTTTTAAAATAATTTTTTAATTTTTTTCCGTGTTTGTGTATCTATATAAATACACATACATTGCTATTTCACATTAAGCTTATTTTATGATTTTATTTTTAAATGGCCACATTGGCATCAGGGCTTTTGTCCATGTGTTTTTAATAAGCAAATAACATTTGGGAAAGCTACATTTTCTCAAAGTGCCTCCAATTACATTATTATTGACTTTTTGTTTTTGTTTTTGTTTTTTTTTTTAACCCTTTTTAAATTTTCCTGTTTTAAATTTTGTAATTCTTTGTAACTTTTCCCTTGAAAGTTCTGTCCTCCAAAGTATCATAATGCAATAAGAGGCATACAAGCAAAACGTGTCTAGTACACAGATATTTCTGCATTATCTGATTATTATTTTTTTTAAGAGCACAACTGCAAAAACTATTCTACTGAATGCTGGGATTACTTGCAGATGATCTCACCAATCTTTGGACTCGAGTAAGAAGTGGATTTTTTTTTATTTTTTTTTTTGCTGAATATAATTTTGGGAATTTTCTGTAATGTGTTACAAGAAGGGTGATCGTTATGATTTCCTCTTGCAGAGAAAGAAAAGGTTTAGTTGACCGAAATACAGTAAATATTTAATGTGTCTATATTTACCATGTTAATGGGAAATGATATTCCAACATATATATATATATATTTTTTTTTTTATAAAATGTATAAATGTCCTGCCATCAGATTTATGCATTACCACAGTTAAATTCCAATCTAAAAAAAAATAAGGTCTTCGGGGGGGACGCCATCTTCTATAGCTTGTATGTCTCTCTACTTGAATGAACAGACAATGACACTTGGCTCCCCCTTCAGGCTTATTTTAGTAACTACATCAAATATGCTACAACTAATCTCTTATATATCGTTGCCCTTTTAACATGATAGCAATGTGTAATCAAAATATAATTCACCATTCCCTCGTTACCACTTGTGATATGGTACAAAGGGCCTAGACTAAACTTTACACTGTTGAAATCATGTAATATACCTGATCGTTTATGGTTCTAATACAAGCAGTATAATAATTGAAGTAGATGTACAGAATTTGCCTAAAACATCTTACAGTAAGGTATTGCAGTCCTGAGCAATTATTGAAGTATTCTAACCACAATAGTTTTACATAATTATTTTTCCTAATGACCGTTCTTCACAAAGAAGCAATCAAATATCCACAACGATTTACATAGATTTCATATTCAAATTGGCAGTATTTTGTATCCACGTGTCAGATTTTACCTGATTTTTATTGGTCTTAGAACCCATATTCCAAAGGTCTCTAAATTTTTTTTTTTTTTCCTTCTTTCTGTATATTTATATATTGGGTTATCTTCATTTAATTTTTTTACTTATTTAATTTGAAACCTTAAGGAGAGAGAGAGAACCATGTAATGGACTAACAGGCATACTTCAAAGTGTGCCCTCTGAGCTATTTAAGGCAATAAGAGAACTGTGTATATGGGGCAATTCTGGCACTGTTGCCATGGAATGTTCCTACTGATTGCCCAGCTATTAACTTTGTTACAGAACGTTGCCTCACACATGACCCCTGTCATTGAGCTTTTGTAATGTGACATATTGGGGAGAACCTTTTTTTTTTTTTTTTAAATTCTTTATTTCAGTAGACTGTCCATGGTAGCTGAAAGCATGACTCCCCATCTGCCTTCACAAATATTTCAGCATTTCCAGAGTAGTCATTCATGTAGATATTTAATAGCCAGATGGCTTTTCTCCGCTCATCAGAATGTGTAAAGGAACATTATGTCTATCTGCATCCGTTTTAAAACCCGCAAAAGAAACTGTTTTACCTTCCCTGCAAATGCAAAATTTTTTTTTTTTAATTTTTTTTTTTTAATTTTTTTTTTTTGAGTTTGGAGAATTAAAACAATCTGTATATCCACGTGAACGATTTGTTTTTAAAACTGGGGCAATTGGCCTTCCTAGCTTTCCTTCTAGTAATGTCCTTCGACCCCCATTGCCACCATCTAGATTGCTATAGACTTACTATACCATTTACTGATCAGTGGAATCTCCCTCAATCTACGTTGTTGGTATTTGTTTTCCGCTCTTCAGAATAATTCCCTGCTGGCATTACGCATGTGCGAGTGGGCAATCTGTTGCATGGGGAAATGTCAAATAATGATACAATCAGGATTAGATCTTTCCTTAAAATTTTGAGACCATTGGTATATATTGACTTTTCTCCAATGAAATGGGTTGTAGGATACCTTTTTTTTTTTTATTATTTATTTTTTTATTTCCCTTTCTAATATTTATAGATCGGTTTCTTTCTTAATAAATTGGTTTGTACCATTTAAACACTGAACAGTACATGATGTGATGGATGTATGGTTTGGAATCACAGATTTTAGTGGTCCTCTGCTGACCCAAGCGTTCATGTTGAGTTGTCAGCAAATCAGTCATTTTAGTTGACACACTTGTGTGCTGAAGCAGAGAAGGCTGTAAAATTTTTGTTTAGCAGCCCTTGGGTTTTGTTAATTTTAGAACAGTTTTTTTTCCGTGTAAGGATCCTCCGTGCAGAAATCCTGCATGCACAAATCCATATAATTAATCATCCAGATTTTATTTGCCAAAGATTTGTGCCATAGCTACATTCTTCTCCCTCTCCCTCGAATATAAAACATTCCTCTGTAATGATGAATAACCACGTAAGGTGCAGCCACAAACAGCTTCTGTTTTTATTAATGAAATGAATAGGAGGCAAGTGGCTCATCCATTGTGTGTCCTTTTTAGTTAATTTTCATAGCAGCTTATGTCCTGTGCAAGTATCTCTCATTCAATAGTATCTCTTTAACATTCTCTTAAGCACTTTAAGTTTGGTAAATCTTGTTTGACTGAAACAGGCTTCTTCCATTTCTTCCCCCAGTTATTCTTTTGTGCCCTAAACAAAGTTGGGAGCATCTTTTGGCTTTCTCTCCTCCATTTTATTTAACTTTTTATTTACATTTTTTTGTGAAATACTGCATAGATTGTGTGATTACTGTCACTTGTAACAAGCAAGACTCATGCAATCTATAAATTTACTAGCATTTTGTTTAATTGGGTGGGATTGGAATGTTTGTTTTGTTTTTATTTTCATTTTCCTACATAATGGTTGGTGTTCTGTTACTTGCTGTTTAGCAAAATTGACTTAAAGATAGTTAACAATATGTCACAAAACACTCGTACCACTTGAAATAAAATATCCCTCTAATTTTAAAAATATTATATATTTAATATAAAAGTTGCTGGGCTTTTTTATTTTTTTTTGTGCTGATTTGATGGAATGGATCACCTAAATGGTGCTGTGGATTACATTCCTTTTTGTTGGCTGATTGGGTTATTTTAAAAATAAAAATAAATATTTGAGGCTGGCAGATTTGTAGCCAAAATATTCAAGCTGGAAAATTTTATCTAATTCAGCTGCGTTGTCCTGAGATTTCCGTTTTGCGGGTCAATGCCCAACTGATTTTTAGCAAATAACCCTGTTCCTAATTGTCTTCTTCTCTCATCAGCTGACACCAAATTACAAAAGTACATGTGCTCAAAACTCCAAAAAATGTGCTGTAACTCAGTCAGACAACCCACCACTCTCCACTTGGTGTAAGTCTGTAGTACAGGGGTGGGATGTCCACATGGTAGATCCCCAGTTGTTTCTGAACTACAACTGCTACAATACTTTGGCATTCTTAAGGCTTGCAAAACATAACGGAAGATATAGGTCTTCATTATATGAAAATCTATTGTTTGTGCCTTTCTGCTAGAGGATAAGATTTGTCGTCATACAGCTTCTCGACTGTAACTCATCCTAAATATTTATTTGGTGCAGTGAAGGAACTTGATGGAATATAGTATATAGTGCTGAATGTCTGGCAGTATACAAAGTATTTCTTTAAGAAATTGAAGACGGAGGAGAACCAAAGAACTGGTTTAAAAGTGATCTGCCTTTGAAATGAGTATCAATAACTATCGTTCTTCAGATTTCTCTAATTTCAGTCCATAAAGTTGGGACACTTGTTTCAATGCATCGCACACTCCTAGCACTGAAAGAGTTATCGAAGGTACCAGCTGAAGTCTTGTGCTCTTGCTACTCTGTTTAAAAAAAACTGGTTTGTGTTCCAAAGGGACAAATCTGGTCTGGGAACCTGTTTATTTATGAAAGGACACTTGGAAGCACGACACTGTCCTCAGTGTCTGTTTATGCACTCTCATGTTTAATATGTGGCTAGGAGGTAAATCACTGGAGTGTGATGGGTGTGTGAAGATTTAGTCTTTATAACTGGAATTGTGAGGTTATCAAATCAATGCAATAGTGTATTTCTATATTTTATTGTAAATATCCTGTTAAGTGATTTTAATTTCTATTATTCTGTAAACAGGGCAGCTGTATGATGTGTACATATATTTTTGTTTTTTCTGATATTTAAAATGTTTAATTTATTGCCTGAAAGACCATTTGAAGAAAAAAATAAAATTCTAAAGAATTCAAAACAAGATTTCCACTTTTGTTTTCTTATCTGCTTATGGTGGGAGTGTGCACAAAATTCATGAAATATAATCAAATGGAGTGTAAAGAATGGCGGTGCATTTTTTATTTTAATTTCTTTTAATGAAAAACTTTGTGTTTTTGCTTGTAGCGCACCTTGAAGTTGGCTTTTCACCTAAAATAACTAACTTTTGACTTAAATTGTGGTAATTATATGTTTAAAGTGGACTTGTCTTTCACCAATGCGTGCATGCAAAAATCTGTTGAGCTAGTGGAGTTACCATTCAGAATTAGGACATTGCAAAGGATTGAATCAATGCGCAAATCACAAAGATTTGTAGTTTCTTTTATGCCTGAATTACTAGATGTCGCCCCACATTTGCGTCTTTCAAACTGTATAACCGTCACATACTAATACCAGTTGTGCCAGTGGATCAGTACGATTGTATACTTGCCTAGGCAATCGGGAAGAGTGTGTCTGCACACTGCTAAACCTTTTGAAGTGATGTGAGTGCAGATATTATAGACTTCTTTAAATCTGCTATTCCATAATCTCACAAGCTACAGATTTTGTATTCGAAGAGCATTACCAAATACGGCTCACCCTTGTCTGGTTTCTTTAAAGCATTGGTAACCACAAAGCACAAAATTCTGAAAAGAGAACGCAGTCTACATACTGTTTATAGAAAACCTAGCCTGAATTAAGAGTAGCTGGAATGCTAATCTCAGTCTTCTGGGTCGTCATGCCCACCATTTCTATGTCCCGTACACTTAATCCACACTGGATTGGACTCCCCTAAAACCAGCTTCTCCTTTTATAGGCATTCACAAAGGCTGTGCCAGGTTTGTCCAGGTATACAATACAAAAAGTTGGAGTCGCTTTCAAGTTGTATCGGTCACCAATGCTGTGGAGATTTCATGAAAAGTGAGGGTTTATAAATGTAAACATACGTGGTAGGATTTCAGCTTACGTGTAGATGGACATAATAGATCACAAAAACAATACCTACATACTGGAAAAATAACGAGGGTGAAATCCAACTCAGAGTACATATCTTGTAGTATGTAAGTGCCTGCCATCTTGTGATCATCGAACATGCCATTGAAATGAGGTCAGAGCCCAGGATATAGACTCTACATGCATTACTGGGCAAGGGTTTTTTTAAATTTATTTTATTTAAATTATCCATATTTGTTTATGGATTTCCTGAATATAATTTTTGTTTGTGTTTTTTTTTTTTTTTTTTAAGATGGGTTGTAAAATCTCTGCGATGTCCTTTCAACAAGTTCACGCTTAAAGGGTTATTCACCAAAGTGTGAAATCTGAGTGAATTTCACATGTAAGGCCCGAGTAGCTGAATGGAAAGCATAGTGGACTGAGAATTTTTCCAGTTTGACTATTTTGGCCTTAAATTTGAAATTCCCCTTGAATGCACCTTACATCCTCACTTAAATTAATAGCCCTGTTAGTGTCATTCTCACTCAACAATGTGGTCGGTGTGTGTTAAAACAGAACTTTATTTATCTCGAACGTTTGTAGATCAAACAGTGTTGGTCTTTTATATTACTGTATCCGGAATAGCTGTCTGCCAGCAGCAGCATGCCAAGACAAAGATTGCTTAAATAAACGCTCCGCACACCTAAAGCACTTTATATCGCTGTGTGTCAAGAGTATGTCCTCTTTCCCAAAATATAAATGTAGTTTTCAACAGAAATTGGCACTTTTATAATTTAAACTCATTTCTCCCACCCCCACTGTCAATCAAACAATTGATTGTGACTTCCTGTTTTCTTAGCTCAGTGGAACTAAACTCAGAACACCTGCCTTGCAAAGACTTTTCATTGAGCTGCATTGGGAAGTCTGTGATTGGACAGCCACAGAAAGTCTGGGCGAGGTTAAAAGAGGAGGGTTTACAAAGGCAGTAGACAAGAGGAACTTGGGTTTTGCACAAGGTTTTTTTAGGTATATTCCAATGGAAAAATGAATAATTAAATGCATGCATGTTTTCATCAGGGGGTATATTACTAAACACTTTTTTTTTTTTTTTTTTAAATCAGGCAGTGGAGTGTCCCTTTTTTGTAATTCTTTCTTTTATTGAGACATTGAGTTATGCGATACAGCATGTGACCAAGAATAAAGGAGTTGGCGCAAAAGTCCAGATGTTAATCAAACAGTTGAACAGTATGCTCCTGGCAGATCTGTCTCATTTTTTAAAATAAACAATCTAGTCTAATTAGTAACAACAAGCTATATCATATAGTGCAGTAAAGCAAACAATAGGTAAGTCAACAGCTTTTGGTTTTATCCCTATTGTTATGGTATGTTGGATCTAGGCTAGTAAAAGTAGAGTAGATTAATACATGCTAGGTTTAGCTTATATGTAAGATTGGGTAACGTCTACATAGTCTAGTTTTTAGTAAGGGAAACATGATATGCTTTGGCAGGAGGCCGGATAGATGCAGTAAGGCATATGAATGTACTGTGCACATAGGATACAGGCTAGGCATGAGTAGCAGATAAGGCTGACTTTTGATTTGTACAATACTATGTCACAGTACTGGCTTGGTTAAAAAAAAAAAAAACGGTTCGGGCTAAGCAAGGTAACAAGGGTTAATGTTTTGGCACTCTCAGGGTGCCGGATCAAACCTATGGAGCCTTTGTCCTGCACAGCTGCTAGTAAAACTGTTATAGGTGCTTATAAGGTATATGCACGTGGTCAATGACTAACTGGCATCGGAGTCAATGGCTTAAATATAGACTGGCAATGCATGAATTGTAAACCGCTGACATGAGGCAGAGGTAGGGGAAAACAGAGCATTAGGGAAAAACAAATCATTAAAGCAGGGTGAATGTAGTGGTTAAGAACCGTGCTCAGCTGCAGTAAAAAGAGTTCTCTTAGCTCTGACTCTTCACCGGATGCAGCTTACGTGCTGGAGCAGATAGTCTATTCTTTGGACCGGTAGCAAATCCGACCGGAGCGGGAGTGCAGCCTGGAATCCCATGCCTCCGTTGCTTCTCTTGGGTCTCCCAGAGTTCTTTCTGCTGGTGAGCTTGGTCAGGTTCCTGCACACGAATACCAGTTGGAGGGGCTTGTGTGTTGGCAGGGTCAGAGTCTGTCGTGGTGCTGGAGCGTCCAGGCTGCTGGACTCTGTTGCTGCCAGGTGGAGTGGGTGAGTACATCTAGGTGTGCGTTTAGTTGCAGCATGGCGCTGTGGAGGTGGGGAGCCCCTCCACCTCTGAGGTTGCTGGTGAGCCGATGCTCCATTTCTGCGTGCGTGAGTCCCAGTGTGGTCTCTGGCCTTTCCGGGGATGGTGGTGTGGTGGGCGCCGTGTGTTGCCCGCTTGGTGCTCCGTTTGCTCTCCATATTCTGTGGCTGACGCTTGCGGGTTGGTTTGTGGCCATGTAGGGCTGGGTGTTTTAGCCGGTACTCTGTTGTCTGTTGAATGTCGTGGGGTGCTGTGCCCCGGTGGGTCTTCGGCTTCTGCATCCTAATCTGATGCCAGTTAGCTTTATCTGATTGGCGTAGTGTGGATGCCTGTGCCGTGCAGACCGCTGGCTGTATAGGCTGGGTCCTTCCCTCCAAATTGGCCCAGAAGCGCTCAAAGATGGCATCAGACCTTGCCTGAAAGGCAGTTACCCAGACCGTGGGGGTTTATCTCTTTGTGCTGGCATCTGTGCTGTCTGCCATTTTGCTCTGGCCTCGTGTCTCCCGCCTATCGGTCCCTCTCCGCTGGTTAGTACCCTCATGCTGGGGGTGGACCGGGATAACCACCGAGGGCCTAGAGGGGGGGAACGGGAGCCCCACCGCAGGAGCTCAGTCTGTCTTGGTGGCAGAGGAGCGGCCGTCTCCTCCGCGTCCGCCATGTGTGTAGGCCTCATCTTCATCTTGGGGAAATATTACTCGCTGTGTGTCGCGGAAGGTATCCACTTGTGCCTCTGACTGTCACATCTGTTGTTTTTTGTGTCGGTAAGACGTCTTTTGGTCAGTGGAGTCCGCTCTATACAATTTAGGTAGAGAGAGCTGAGGAGATATGCTTCCTCTCAGCTCCCTGGCTAGGCCCCGCCCCCCGAGTGTCCCTTTTTATATACATGTTGTGCATGAATCAATGCATTTAATTAGTAAAGGCTACACATTAATTATATTGGTTGCCAAGTAAAGTGCTGTTAATTGATACAATGGTTACTCATTTTGGTATACTCCAACATCAGTGGTTCTCAACCCAGTCCTTGTGGCCCCACAACAGTCCAGGATTTATGTATTTCGCTCTTTTATTCCAATGGATACTAACAAAACCTGGACTGTTGGTGGGTCTTGAGGACTGGTTTGAGAACCACTGTCCAACATGAACATAGTTGTGTATAGGTATATTAAAGTTACCTGAGCCAGTGATTGACTCACTAGTACGACTAGATATATTCATTTTGACAGCTTGAGTTATTGCTTGTGACAAAGCTTTTGTACTCCGACAGAGAACCTCTGCACCCAGTTTGCTTCCTAGATGCTTGCAGGGACCCTGGAACCCTGGTGGAGCTCTCCTTACAGGCAGGTAAAGTTGTATCTGTCTCTTCCGCTGCAGCCCTTCTTCCAGGCAGGTATCCACATCCGCCTGCATTTGTGTGTGTATGTGTGTATGTATATATGTGTGTGTGTATATATATATATATATATATTCTATCTTGACTTTAACCCCTTAAGGACACATGACGTGTGACATGATTCCCTTTTATTCCAGAAGTTTGGTCCTTACGGGGTTAAAAGGACACTTGTGGCTCTCAGGCCTAGCTCTCTTGTTTCATCCTAGGGCTAGAGGGATCCTGCAACCAGCAAACAAGTCCAAAGACTGTCACTGGGATCCCTAAAAATCCACACAGGACACAAGTTCTAAAAAGAACTAAAATACAAAACTTTATTTTACTTGGGACTTGCCAATATGATCATTACATAAACATTGCTGTGACAACTCAATAAAAATA